CCGTGTACTTGTGAAGATGAATGTGATATATCAAAAGAAGACTCTTCAACTCCTCAAAATTGTGCCCACTAAATCCATCAATTGTTATAAATGAAGGTGCCATTGTGGGAAGTTTTGACAGTAGTCTCTTGCACTCTAAAAAAGGAATAACAGTCGTGGTCATCCACTCCATAAAAATATCCTTTGTGACGAAGCCGGTGCTGCTTGTATAGAATGAAGCGTTTGTGTATTTGGAAAGGAGCTCAGTATCAACAGTCTTATTAGCGACGACAATTCCAGGGCATACGACTGAACCATCAAGGCATATCATGCAAATTATTGTCGAACCTTTCCCTGATCTTCTAACTTCTATTTTGATGTTTTTCTCGTCGACGTCAGCGGGAACTAGGATCTTGACCACCTTTTATTGCAGAAATCCTGGAAACCAATTTCATCGATGTTAAATACCAGTAGGATGTCGGTGCCATTGAATTGGGACATTTCCAGATAGTTATTGACAATATCACAAAGATTGATTGTGATTCTCCCCAAATCTTCTGGTTTTCCTTCAACGTTTTTTAAGTTGAAAACTCGGAGTGCCCACTTTTTTACAGTTTCTTTGTTGAATGTGCGGTTGTTTATTTTCTGAACCAATTTGTCGAAGGAAGAGAGAGTCATAGCCAACTTTTGTTGGGAACAGTAATCAATAAACATCCGTGCAATTGTAACTGTTTTCTGATCGAACAAAGAAGGTCTTCCTGGTTCTCTATTTATGTTGTTGTTGTCTTTGTTGAGCTCTTTGAGATCCGAACTCACAGACTGGTGGTGTATTCCGAAAAGCACGGCAAGTGTTCGTAATGTCAAAAAACTTTCACCTCGCATAGTAGACACGATCATACCGACTTGCTCTCTTCTTGATGCCAATTTGAAGAATAATGGATCGTCGGCAAAACACAAGAGGACATTTTTGGCATTCAAAACATCTTTTTTTCTGAAATTTGTGTCTTTTTTATTGCTTTGGTTTTTATTTCTTCTGTGGCTTTCATAATTTTCCTCTCCATAACAGTATGGTCTTTCACTCCACCTTTCTTTCTGGGAATTTTGAACACCTTTTCAAACTCAGGATGTTCGGCTATGAATTGAGGAGACACCAATTCGACAAGCTTTGTCGATACAACAATATGAACTCCAATGGTTGACAATGGGTTTGAAGGCAGAGTCGAAGGGCTTGACATTAAAACTGATTTTTTTAATTGAAACATTTACCAAAAAGTTATTAAAATCCAGTATTCATGGTGAAAGAAGGTAGCCGATTACCCAAAAAAGAGTCGAAAACAATAGTTTTTATCGGATAATAATTCTTTTTATGTTATTTTTCCAAGTAATTTTCATGTTTTTTAGGTCAAGTATAACCGTTATAATTATTATACATATTACTACATATAGCAAAACCAAGTTTGTGGTAAAAATAATGTATTTTTTATATAAGACATGTAAACAAAATCCTATAATGATGGTTCTCAAACACCAATAATAATTACTCTGATAATTAAAAATAGAATTTTGTCATCCCTTTTTTCTTTGTCAAGTGATTTTTCAGCCTTCTGTAGAAAAGGAGAAAACCAGGGAAGTGAACAAATTATTGGAAAAAACTCTTAGATTAGATTCAGTAACCAAAGTCAAAAAAGTTTCCGTTGAAAGAAAAGAAACCAAAGAAAAATGACTTGCAAAGTCGAAAGATAAGAAACAAAACCTAATTGAGTTCTAGAAAAGATTGGTTAATAAATTAAAAAAATAATTACAAAAGGTGAAACTTTGGGAGTTTTTTTTTATTAAAGTTCCTTGAACTGGGTTTGTTTAAAAAGACAACCATTATTATATAAAAGTGCCACTCAAGAGCAGCGCCGTTGTAAGTACTATCAATACGATATATATATATGAATATAAATTATTTATTTTGACATTCTGAACCAACTTGCTAACTTTTTCGTGATCTATCAATGCATGCCTGTTGTTTGTTGTTATTTCAGTAATGATTGTGATTAAACAAATGTATCAATTGTTTAGAAACGGCGTGTTGGTACGATTAACACATACACAATGACAACATGTTTTAATGAAGTGTTTAAAGGTTATTATTATGACACAATATTAAAGGCAAATGTTTGTTTCATTTTTTGAAATTAAATGGAATTAACACACAGAAAACTGTCGGAGACTATCACTAACATGGGTATTCATCGTGTTGAAAAAACTTGTTATGTCTTTTAATTTTCATTATTTTTGTGTTAATTTGTTTAGATTTAAACTTGTTTCTTGAAAATTTGTTTTAATTATTCTATTCGTAAATATTATTGGAATAAAAATATGGTTGATTTTCCAATAATTATTATTATTTTATGTTGATATTTTTATCGAATTGAGGTTAATTATAATATAAGTTCATTTTTTGTACTGGTATTTTTAGAAAATGTTGGTTTGGTTGATTTGGATAGATTAAATAAAAATATATACGCAGACTATATATTAAATTTGTTAAAGTGACTTCCCAAAATGTGCAAGTTAGTTTAAAGGTGTGCAAGTTAAGGTATAGTTAATTTATAATTTTTTTATTAAAAAAATAGAATCATTAATTTTTTGAAATTTTGAAAAAAAAGATTATTTTTAGTTTAATTATTAATTATAATTTTGAAGTTATTACTAAACTATACTTTAACTTGCACACCTCGTGACGTTGCAATTATTAACTTTCACACTTTGAATACAATAAATTAAGCAACAATTTCGGGAAAGCAACCCAATGGAAATTATCGAAAAACCAGTTCTGGACAACAGTGCACATCGATTTGAGACAATGAACTGCACCTATTAAACAGACTATTTGTTATTGTTTGCTATAAAATGGCACAGAGAAAAACATAATGTTTATTACACCTTTTCTTGTCACTTTGAATTACGCTGACACAAGAGACATTGACATTTATTCACGTTCTTGAAACAAAACAGTTTTTACATTAAACACATAGACAAACCATAACCCAATTTTTATAATTTAATTTGCTTTTTGTAGTTTATTAATTCAAGCACCAAAGGGTTGTGTGTTTTTTGAAACAATTTTGAAATGAATAACATTTTTTAATAAAATGTTTTTCAACTGAAATTTAGTCTTGCACGCTCTTTCCCTGTAAAAAAGACTAAAAATTTTAACTTGCACACCTTGGGGAAGTCATTTTACTCAAAAATGTTGATGAAATTATTTATGTGGAGTAGTATATAAATTGTGCTGATTTCGTGCACCCTTCGGGAACACTCAATCCTCACAATTTCGTCGCTTCGTTCCGTTATTTAGGTTTAATTATTTTAGGGTTATTTTTTTTAGTTATTATTTCAAAGTGATAATTGTATTTTTTCTTATTTTAAATGAGCACTACACAAGAATACTTGAAAAAGAATTTTCACAAATTTACTAAAAATTATTCCGAAGAAGAAATTTTGGATTGTTTTAGAATTAAAGATGGAATTATTAAAGGAGCATTTACTAAAATTTTAAATAGAGAATGTAGAAAAGAATTGTTGAAAATGAATATTGAATCCAGAAACGTTTATTTTGAACTTAGAAAAAAAAATAGAACAACACGTAGCGGCGCCTTAAGCGCAACCATTTTTAAGAATTGTGTTTGATAAATTAAATAAAACTGATAAACAAACTTTTGGATTAATTAATAAAAAAGCAACATTAATTAAAGAATTAGATAATGCATAAATTCATAAAGAACTTGATAAAAAGAATTTAGAATGGAGTTTAAAACATAATACCGAAATAGATGATGAAACAATATCTCAAGAATATTATAATTATGTTAATGATCAACTTAAGAATGAAAGAAAAAAACGAATACATGATTAATAATTATGATAATATCAAAATTAATTTAGAATGGAGTTTAAACAATAATATTGAACAAATAGATGAAGATGAAAACAGAGATCAAATTTATGATGAATATCAACCATACAAACGATCAATAAATGATAATGAATATAAAACAGAAGGTGTAACATATGACGTAGATAATAATAAAATTCATGCTGATCTTAATTATGGATTTGAAGAGAAATTAGACGAATTGGTATGATTAGTCAGTTCTTTAATCAATTAATTGAAAAACTGGATTCAACAGCAAATTTAGTTTATAATATTGATTTACTGATACTACTTGGAAGACATATATGTTAAATTCTAAAGAAAATATAGATGAATTTCTAAAATCAATTTCAAACAAAACTCTTGGTTTATATAATCAATATGAAATTGAAACCAGTTCAGATTCTGCATTTTATGTTCAACATGAAGTTCCAGAACCTTTATTTATTACAGAATTAATAATTGAAGAATGTGATTATAAAAATGAAATTAATGAATATCGAAATAATGGTGCGGCATTCTTTGCTTATCATTATACAGAAGAATATAAATGTTTCTCTAAATATTTAAAAATAGCACAAATATTTGATTCTCTTAGTGTTGAAAACAAAATTAGACCTGAATTAAATAATAATTGCTTAATATATGCGTTACAACAAGATAAAATAGATGAGAAAATTGTTGATTTATATCGTGTTCATTGTTATTCAAGATATCAGAAAATTAAATTGATAGATGAAGTTTCAAATCATGTAATATTAGAATTCAAATAAAACGTGAAGAATTAAAGCGTAAAGATCATGCTAATACAATAATGAAATATATAGGATCAGATAATGAAGAAGCTACTGAAATTAGTATGTATTTATTCAGAGATTCAAATATGAAAGGTGATCATTATTTCTTAGATGTTGATTTACCAATTACTCCATTTTATCTTAAGAATAAAGTTGAAATGAATGGGCATTAGAACACAACAAACCAATTGAATTTATGTTTAATAAACATAGAAAGAAAGGAAATTCATATTTAATCAATCCAGGAGCTAAATCCAGTATAAAATTATCTGAACTTATTTTATATATTAGAGATAATAATGGCTTTAAACCATATTCACTTAGTGATGTTCTTCATTTACCATCTGATTTATCTGATTATGTCAAACAATCAATCGAATTATTAGATTATCTGGATTTTGAAGTAAAACCAGTAACAATGTAAAAAACTACGGAATGAAGTTCCTCAGACATTACATGTCGTAATAAAAAATCTAAATTTAAAAATTATACTTATTATTATGCAGATTTCGAAGCTAGTACACAAGGAAATCATAAAGCACATTGTGTTGCTTATTCTAAACAAAATTCTTCTCAAATTTTATGTAAATATGGTGGCGAGTGTGTAGAAGACTTTTTATCTGATTTAGATAACAATTTCGTTGTTTATTTTCATAATTTGAAATATGATTCATGTTTATTAGCAAAATATGGAATTGAGACATGTATTAAAAAGATGGAAAAACTATGAAAATGAAACTAAATTATCACGAAAAAAGAATTGTTTTGAAAGATAGTTATTCAATGATTTCAAATAAATTATCAGATTTTCCTAAAATGTTTGATTCATCTAATATTCAAAAAAAGTTATACCCTTATAATTACTACGACGCAGATAGAATTCAAAATAATATTGGAATAATTTCAGAAGCTGGTGAATATGAATCTAAAAGATGGAATAAAGAACAATATGAATTATTTAAAGAGAATATATCTAAAATTGATAATTGTTTAGTGGATAACGACAAATTCGATATGTAATTATATTGTAAATTCCACTGTTGTCAAGACGTTAGAATATTAAAAGAAGGATATATTAAATTCCGAAATAATAATTTGAAAAGTTTAAATATAGATGTTGACAACTTTATTAGTATATCGACTCTAGCTAATCACTATTTCAAATTACATGTTTACACACAAATTTCAAACTTAATGCAATATTCTGGGAAATTTAGAGAATTTATACAGTGTGCAGTATATGGAGGTAGAAATATGTGTAGAGATAATACAAAACAACATGTTACTAAAGATTTATATGATTATGACGCATGTTCATTATATCCTAGCGCTATACATAGGTTAAAACTAGCAACTGGAAAACCTATAGTAATCCCACAAGAATCATGTAATAAAACTATATTAAATCACTTAATGTTAGAACAACAATTAGAACCAACATATGAACGTTATATATCAGCATTTATTGTAAAAATAGAAATAACCAAGGTTAACAAACATTTACACTTCCCAATTATAACTAAGAAAGATAAAAAAGTAATAATAATGTTAATGAATGTTGTAAAACGAGAGTAGATAATATTATGCTTGAAGATATGATTAAATTTCAACAAATAGAGTTTAATATTATTAGAGGATATTATTGGACTGGTTGTAAATCTAATGTGTTTAGTAATGAAATTGAAAAGATAATCAATTTAAGATCTCAACTTAAAAAAGAAGGTAATCCGTTACAAAACAATTATAAATTATTGATGAATAGTTCATATGGAAAAACAATTCAAAAACCAATTAAAAATGACTTGGTTTACAAATATATTAATAATAAAGTAAAATGTGATTCAGATAGGTATCTTAAAAAGAACTTTACATTAGTTAGATCCATGTATGACATATCAGATAATATTAGATGTTTTGAAACAAAAAAACCATTTGATGACTTCTATGTCTCATTGGTGTACAAATATTAAGTATGAGTAAGAGAATAATGAATGAAGTTATGTGTTTAGCAGAAGATTTAAATATAGATATATATTATCAAGATACTGATTCAGTGCATATAAACAAAAATAAGATAGAACTATTAGAACAAAAATATAAAGAAATATATGGTAAAACATTAAGAGGAGGTGAATTAGAACAATTCCATCCAGATTCTGATGAATTATCTGAGGATGTATATTCAAAAGAATCTTACTTCTTAGGTAAGAAAGCTTATATAGATGTATTAACAAACGATAAACAAGAACATGATTTACATATGAGAATGAAAGGTATTCCAAACAATTTATTGGAAAATAACAAAAATTCAATTGAATTATATAAGAAACTCTACGCGGGAGAATCTTATACATTTAACTTACTAGAATTAAAACCTAGTTTCGAATTTAGTAAGACATTTGATATTAAAACAAGAGAGAACTTTACTAGAAAAATTCAATTCTAAATGAAAAAAATTTATACGTACGGATACAATGAATCCTCAGACTTTTTAGAGTCGTAACCAATTATTTAATAATCTTTTATATGTTCCCAGCATATATTAGTCTATTTTTTGGTTTGAAATCATTGAGATTA